AAAAAAAAAAAAAAAAAAAAAAAACCTCTCGATCTTTTTTTTGGGGAAGATCGATGCGCCCTTCCTTCAATCTCTTCCTGCAAAATGCAACCTTTTCTCGTCCCCTCTCGACGCGGAATCGCTTCAGAAAATTTAAAGCACCAGGAACGGGTGGGAGAGTTTCTTCGCTGAAGAAATTCCAACTTTGCGGGGGGAAAGGTCCTTGTAAACCGGAAAGTAGGGAGCCTTTACTTTAATGGGAAAAAAAACTCGTCAAAACTTATCCAACTTTTCCGCCCATCGTCGTAAATTCTCCTCTGATGGAATAAATATTGCATGCGTTTATTTGAACATTTTATTCTCGGAGTTTGAGAGTAAAAAAAAAAGAAAAAAAAAAACAGAACCAGCCTGTCAATGTTAAATATAATGGGACATAATAATATATAATAATAATATATAATGGGACGAAATGGTACGCAATCAGACGAGATCAACGCGAACGACCAGGGCCTCGGCGGCCTCGAAGAAGCGGCGCGGAGGGTCGGCGAGGAGGACGAACGGCTGTCCCGGTCGGGGAGGCCGCCGGTGAAGGGCGGACTTCCCGAGTATTTGTTCGAGGACGTCTGGGTGAACCAGGACTCGGCGACGCTCGCCGGCGGGGATGTGGACGCTGTCCTTCGCGCGCATCCTCGAGATCGTGTAGTATTGGTCGGTGAGGAGGAATCTCTCGCGCCTTCTTTCCTCCTTGTCCTTCACGTGTTCCTCCACGTATACGGAGGGGACGTTTGGGGCGAAGTATGCGTCCGGGTCGAAGCCTCTATCGAGACACTGGAACGAGAATGGGGAGGTAATTGCTTGCACGAATGGGTCCACTTTTTTTTGGATTTTTGTCCAATGAATGAAAAATGACATTTTTTGGTCACGTGATAGGGCTTTGACTAGTTTTCGCATGATCGCTGCTCAAAAATAGAGCCTCAACGGCCATGCATCACTTTGCACGGAGCAATTTTCAGTGCTCTGATGCATTCCAACTGCATCAGCTGGAGAGGACCGGGTTACAATTTCCTCAGAAAGAATAAATAAAGACGAATTGGATGAAGAGCATTGGATGAAGAACCGGCTCACCCTGCGTCGCCTCTGGTTCTCGTACAAGGCACAGAGGCGCCCCCAGACGACGAGGAAGGAAAGCAGGGCGATCAGCGCGACGACCGCCACGATCGCCTCGCCGTCGCGAACGCCGAGGGGAAGCAACTGGAAGGCCGCGGCGATGAGGGACGCGGAGACCGCGATGGTCGCGAGGACGCTGGCGATCCGGCCGATGACGAAGCGCCGATGGAGCCGATGGAGGAACTCGGCTTCTTCGCGCTCCATGGGTGCTCCAAAAAAAAGCCAAATGCGGGAAGAGATTCGGGCTCAAGGCGAAATTATGGATTGTCTCGAGGTGAGCCTCGTCGATAGAAAATGAACGAGCCTGGGTCCAAAACTAAATAAGGAGAAAAAACGAAAGATTGTCAGGGCTTCCATAATATACCTAGTAATATATAATATATAATTATATTATATATATATATATATCATATATTATATAACCGCGCGTGCCCGACCATCATCTCTAAACCGGACAACACGGAAATTGAATCTGTAATTCCTAAGTTATCTAAACCAGAAAGTCATGACCAAGTAACTCAGTAACCAATCGGGAACAGAAAAATCCGGAAGTGGCTCAAATCATTCAACTTGAGTCAGCGAAAGCCAAATCATCCGAGTCGACCCAGATCGACCCAGATCGACCCAAGTCGACCCAGATCGACCCAAGTCGACCCAAGTCGACCCAGATCGACCCAAGTCGACCCAGATCGACCCAAGTCGACCCAAGTCGACCCAGATCGACCCAAGTCGACCCAGATCGACCCAGATCGACCCTAATATTATCTGAGTCGTCAGAACTGAGAAAGAGGAAATCAAACCCGGATTCCCAAAGGTTTCCAAACCGGATTTCTGAAATCCGATGGCCTCGTTTCAGTTGTCAATTAAAGCATTCGCTCTCATTTCACTCGTTTCTTCCTTAAGTTCTTTAAGCTGGGTCGATCCGTCGATTTGGATTCATGAATATATTTCTGTCACCATTTCGGTCAATTTAGGTCAATTTTTGGAAAAAATTAGGCATCATAGAATCATTTGGCTAACTTCGTGTCAATCGGTCAATGCGGCTTAACTTGAGTCACTTGGATTAGATAAATTTGGCCTTTCGGTATCAATAAAAATTGGCGAGTTAGTTCCAAGTACCATACTAAACTATTTTGAATGACATAAAAAATTTATTTAATTGTTTTTCAAAATAATGTTCTGAAAAATAACTGGTTTTTCTGAGTCAATATAAACATTCAACTTATTGGTCGAAGCGTTTTTTCCTATTAAGAAAAAAAAAAATTTTTTTAGTAAGTTTTTTTTTAAATAGCATTTTTCGCATTCGAGGTCCAAAAAAAGCTGCACATTCGCTGTCGAGGTCCAACGCGAAGGAAAAACAGCAAGAACAAATTATTGCTGAAAGCTGCTGGAGAGCTGTTTACATTCGTCTCGAACTCATATTATTTACCATCTATATATATTAAAGGGCACTCCCGCGCTGGTCCCCAAAAATACCTCACCTGGCGATCAACAAGGAAATTCATCTTAAGTTCCCCACTTCCCGAAAACTCATCAGATCGCTCAACGGCTTACACTTCGCTGAAGACGGCGAGGCCGGAGCACGCATCCACACAGGAGACTCGGCGGGAAGCGAGATGGGAATAAACACAGAAAAGGATTGGTCAGTGCGTTCATCACCGGTTCGTCCGGGTCATCGGGATTTCCCAGCGAGGGATTCCCCTTCCCGCCCCGAGGCGAGAGAGGCGCCTGACTCCCGCGGGAGCGGAGCCCGCGGTCTTCAGTGGCGGGAAGCTTCGGGAAGCGCGGGAAAGCCTCCCGCTCGTTTCTCTCCTCCCGCCAGAAACGACCAACCAGCTGCGTTCTTACCTTTCTTCCCGTTCCACAAAATCCCCTCATCGCGGCGAAAGGGACAAATCAAACTTTTCCCTCATCACAATTTGCCAATAATCCACAAGCCAATTTGCCAATATTCCACGCACTGAGACACCGTAACAGTGCCCCGATTCTTCGGCTCGCACATGTTTCTCCTCTCCTTTTTTTGTTTATTTATTTTTCTCCCTTGATATTGTTTTCCTCGCTCACACAGTTGCGCATGTGGAATGAATCTCAAGGCCACGCAGTCCTTCAAAGTCTCGATAATAAAAAAAACCGGTCGAAGAGTGGACCAAGCCCCTTTAATCGCCATATATGCACTTTTCTCGATCCTGCGCAGAAATACTGCACGCATGAATGTCTTAATTAATTAAACTCTCCGAATGGATGTGCTCCCGCCATGAATAATTGCTGGCAATTATGCCGCTCAGATGGTTGCAATGAATATTGATAATTGCGGGGGAATGCGTCACTCTACTCATGCCATATATAGACCATGTTCCAGCCTATTTATTACCCAGGTGCAAAAAAAAAATTGTGAAAATTTCTTAACCAATCTTTAAAATAAATATTTAAAAAAATGAGGACGCAAAAATTCAGTAAATAGTCAAATTCTGGATCGAGCCCAGCTACGAAGAAATGGAACTGCGACAAGGATTTTCCAAAAACGAGGTCTCCTAATGATTAGCACAAACGCCAGCCGTTTCGATGGAGGAGGAGGCCTCATGAAGGCCGAGTTATCTCCGGATAATCTCCAGATGATTATCTAGACAAGGGTGGAGATGGGACGATGCATGGCACGGATAGTGCGATCAGCGTGGGCCGTTCGGCCGGATTTCCCCCTCAAGAAATGGCGCAGGCTTTTTAAAGCAGAGGGAAAATTCCGTCTCCGCGAAATGGAGAAAAATGAACGCCAGATGCTCTCCATTGGCCATGCTCTGATGCAAAAAGGCGACAAATTTTGCGACAAAACGGTCGTGAAATTGTCGGCAGAATTTATTTCTAAGCTTACGACTGGGAGCCTGGTCATTTGTCTCAGAACTATTAATGCATCCTTGTACCGGCTGGGGGTGAGAGGGAGACGATTCTGGCTGAGGGTGAGAGGGAGCCGACCAGGAGAAACAGGCGAGCTTGGACATTTTTCGCGCGATTTTGGGAAGACATGGGGCCGATCTACCACGTACTAATTACTACGTACGAGTCCTTGATCCTACTCTTCAATCTGGAAACTAAAAGACAATGCAAACAATCGAAGCATAGTGACCCACTCGCCTCTGAAAAATTTTCAGACGAACGCCAATTGACGAAGTTACGCAATTTTTGGGGTTGTTTTGGGCTTGTTTTGGCACACCCGGTCCCCAAAGCACAAATAGCTAATGCAATACTACATGGAAGGAGAGACAAGTAGGAGTACTCAACATATACTTTTTTTTTTTCTTCCGGTAAGTGCGCAACCTTGATATATATTGATAATATATATATTCGACAAAACGTGGAGCGATCCAAGCAAGGAGCAGTTGCACGAATCACGTATACCATACAGTACTGCCTCCGCCTGTCCTCGAAAGACTCCCACACGATTCTGGCCCGATCGAACAGAAGAGCAAGCGAGTTCGGGCGCACTGACATCCACCTCACCTGAGTGACTTCGTGTCGTCATCCAGGCTCATTCCCCTCATTCATCGGGGAGGCGATCCCCCACGTAAGCTGCCGCATTCCAATTTTCCTCTTGCTTTCCACTCTTCCTTCCAGACACTATAGAGGTGGCGGCTGATCATCCTTACAAAACGCTTCCCCCTCGTCTTATCTACACTTCACCGCTTTGTCACTTGAAGGGTCTGACGAGAGAGGGGAATCCCCGATTATCATCTGATGCTCTCATGCGAAAGGAATCCCCCGCAAGCAAGATCTTGAAAAGAGATAAGACTCAAAGGCGGGAATCGGGTTATCCCAGGTGAAAGTACCTCCCCCCCCCCCC